AGGGAGATGACCACAGAAACGGGATTCAAGAGCTTCAAATCAGATCTGGAGATAAGAAAAGGCTTAAGACACGCAGAAAGACCAACAGCACTAAAATGGCAAAGGGCAGATGTGTGGCTATGTGGTGATGGCAAGGATGGCACTAGGATGGCTTGGCTGGAGCAGGGAGCTCAAAAGAGACACCTTAATTACTGGGGGAGAGGATTAGCCTGGGAGAAGGGGGATATTTTGCTGCTAATGTCTATTTGGAGGACCAGCTCCAGCCCCTTACTGGAAGCAGCACATCCCAAGCCAACATCTGGGCATCCACAGTGCATCCAGCTCCTCTTAAATCAGTGTTTTGTAGCACCACCTCTACCACCCCCAGCTTTAAAACCAGCAATGTAATAAAAATATTCATGAAATAACACTTGTGCCACAGAAAGACCAACCCCAGGGGGAAAACAGGGCAAGCAAAATCCCTTCACCCACAGCACAGCCTCTGCCTCTCCTTGCCCTGGAAATCTTCCTTCCCTGGTTCCTGCAACATGTTGAGAGCAGATATCAATTTTTTTGAATATTCCTCTCTATTCACAATTTTTTTAAAGGTAGGTGTGAATGCAGATAACCTCAGAGGACAACGTAGGGATGAAAATCCCGAGTTTCCTCTCGTCGGTTAGGAAAACTTTGTGTAGTCTCTCCCCAAATCTGAAGGCACTCACAAGGTTTGAATGCCTCAGCATTTCTCCTGAGGGAAAGGATTTGGAGGAGAAGAGAAAAAAAAAAAAGCCCCACAACCCGTAGCATGTTTATGAATCAGACTGTTCAGCGTGTGTTTCGGGGGTGGAAAAGGTGGGCGATGCGCAGAGGAACAGAGCGCAGAGTTCGATGAGTCAGAAAATGCTGCTTTTCCTCTCCTTGCTGGCATCTTAAATATTTCAGCGTGAAATAGAAATTTTATTTTCTTCTTTATTATTGTCAAGAGAGAGCTGGAGCGTAACCTTGGCTCGTTAGCAACCGCCGGCAGCTCCTCCGACGTCAAGCCCTGCTCTGCAGCCGGAGTACGCGCGGGAACACGGGTGTACACACGTGTGTGCTGAGGGAGGCACACACACGTGCAGCCCTGGGATGGGCCGGGAAAGGATGCAAATAAATATAATAATAACAAAGTATCGGTGATTTTTCTAGCCAAGCAGGGGCTCGGATGCGGGCTCACGCCAAAGAGCAAAAAAGCTCCCTCGAGAATGAGCCTTGGTGGGGTTTGGGGAGAGCAGCAGTACATCCCAGCCTGGATTTGGGCTTGGGGAGGTCTCCTTTACCCCCCCTCCAGGCAGGCTGGGGCACGCACATGGAAAAATACACACAAGACTGGGGGATCCTGAAATAAGGCTTGCGGAGACGCAGGGAGGGGTGTTATAAAAGACAAGCAAATTTGCACATGGGCTTTGAGTTCACCCGGTGCCGAAGCTGGTTTGAACAACGCCTAAACCAGTCATCCCATGAATACTGTCACCACTGCGCCTTGCAGCGGGGCACAGGAGGGTTTGCAGAGCACGGGGGGGTCAGCCCCTGGAGCAGGGAGGGTAAAGGAGAGGATGGGAGAGCCCCCGAGGAGGGTAGATGGGCAGGGTCTGATCCTGCTCGGCAGCATTTCCAACCCCAGCCGGCAGCAGGGCTTCTGCTCCAGAGTCAGAAGAGATGAAATGCAAGAGGAGATAAACACCCCTATGCTGCAGCCTCTGAGTTTGACTCCACTGACATTCACAGCCCATTTAGGTTACGGGTGAAGCAAATAAAATTATGCATATGCATTAACGCTGGCAATATCCTGCCTGAAATGTATGCTCATTTACACTCAGAAATCCATTTAGAAGAGAGAAATCAGAGCTATATTTAAAACAGAAAAATCACTTGGCTGTCCGTGAGGCAGCTCCTGTTTACATCTGTCATTCCTTGGCAAAACTGAAATCATTTCGGGGGAAATTGTGTCCCTGGTTTTACATTTAGGAAGAAAAATGTTTGCACCCCTATATCCTCCAGCTCGGTCTAATATAAAATAACAAATGTGCATTTGGTTATTGCTGTTTGTTTGTTTGTTTGTTTTTTAAAGTTTTGTGGTCTAAAAGCCACCTGTGGAGCTCAGAGCTTGTGGATGGGAGGAGGTATAGGGAAGGACCTGCTTGGTACCTGTGGAACATCCAAAGCATTTATTAATTAAAATTGGCTTTGGAGATTCAGAATCGCCGTGGTGAGACCTAAACGTTCCGTGGCTTCTCCAGTTTCCTTGGCAAATGAAAGGCCATGCTGACAGCACTGATGACAGAGCTAAAAGGAGAACATGAGCTCTTCCTAATGGAGAAATATCTTCTTCCACTCCACTAATCTGTATTGCATTGCTTGGCTCCCAAGCCACAAACTGGAGATACTAAATAATCAGTATTGCTCTCTGTTTCCTCCTGCAAATGTATATGTGGGCACTGGAACTGAAAAAAAAAAACATTAGGCTCCAAAAGAATACCCCCTCAAAAAAATATATTTTTTTTTTATATTAGGCACACCAGTGGCTGCTGCTTCTCACTTAACGTCAGAGCTCGTTGCAGCTCATATTTTTTTAAATGCAATAAAAAAGCAGCAGCCAGCAGCTCTCTGAAGTGTGTCAGGAGGCAGTTTTTCAGCAAGATGATGTATTTTAGATTGTGATTCACGACCACACTGGCAGTTGGAGTTCAGGTTTAGAAGGAAATGAATGAATGTGAGACACAAGGGTGCGAAAATGAAAGTAGCTGGAGCTGAAGGTCTGCTCTGTGCTTCGAGCCCCGCAAGATTTGAGTTTTCTTCCCCTTCTGTGCGAGCTCAAGCGAGTCACCAAACTGCCCCACACTTCTGCTGACAGAGTTTAATTTAAGCCTAAACTAAAATGCAGTTTTATACAGGCTATGTCCAAGCCCAGCACCCTCCCCCAGAGCAGCTCTCCCGAACGGGGCACCCGAGCACAGCCGAGGAGCTCAGTGCCTGCTGCCACAACACAACCTGCAAGTTCTCACCCCCACTCTGCACGGGTTTAAGCCGTTCTAACCTGTCCACGTCTCATCTGCACCATGAGAAAAATATAAATACCGCTCAGAAACTGCAAAAAATTCAGAATTTTTAAAAATCTTCAACTATATTTCACTGATGGGAACAGTGACATGGGTAGTGTCTCCAACATCCAGGCACATCACTGTGAGCTGTGCTGCACAGGAGATGCAGAGCTCTGCTTGGAAGGCAAAAGCCATGGGACATCCCAAAGTCAGAAGCTCTTGTGAACCAAGAGGCTGTGAGAAACCCAACACTGGGCTGGATGGGAAGGAGAAGTACCGAGCGAGGCGAGCACAGAGCCATTGCTTGCAAGAGGAGGAAGGAAGAAGAATAAAAAGGCAAACTAATTGCCACCACTAACCCTTTGCTCTGCACCTACGTCACACCTTCGAGGTACCTTTTCCAAGGCAGAGCCCGGTGCCACCGAGCAGCCACCGTGCCTGACTCAGGGACGATGATTCACTCGGGCAAACAGGAGCCCCACGGCAGCGATGCCCCATCAGTGCCGTGCTGCTGCACAGCACAGCACACCCATCAACCACAGCTTCCCGTGGGGCCAGGGGACAGCACAGAAATTGGGAGCAATTATACCCTGAAATCAGCCCAAGCACCTGTTTGATAAGGATGTTGCACTCAGGATGTATTTTGCCTTCAGCTCCCGAAACAGAGGGTACCGTCCCCTCCCAGTTAACCACACAGCTGCCCTTCTCCAAAATGAGGGCAAACAGAGCCAGGTTTGATGCTCCACTGCTTGCACCTTGTTCCAGTGCTCCATGGCAAGAGCCCCCAAGCCCAGCCCTGACCAGGGGATGGAGCTGAAGCTGCCTGGTACTGGGAGCACTGGGGGGCTGGGGGACCCGAGCACAGCCCAGCACAGAACGGCTGCTTGCAGGAGTCACAGCCCTCTGATCCCACCCAACACGGCCTTCCCCAGGGAACAGAGATGCAGACAGCAATCCTGCCAGCATCTACTCAGGCTTTCCTTAGCCTCATCCGTGAGGACCAAGCAAAAAGCAGATGCAACAACCTCCAACCCAGGAGAGAGTTTACACACTTATCTCCTTGCGCGAGTTCAAGAAATGACTTGCTACTCCGAAGCACTGGAGCAAACTCACCCTAAACTCTCCTGTTTCCGTGTTCAGAGTTAACGACCGACCTCGGTCACAGCCTGAACTATCAGAGTCACCCTGAAATCACCTGGGTAGGTTCAGGCACCCCGGCTACACTGAACGCTCACAAAACACAAGTTAAAAATTTCCCTTCCCCATCCCACGAAGATGCCCAGCTGGCCGCAGAGGGTCCCCCGGGTCAGTGTGACACGCAGCCAGGCCAGCACATGGCCTGTCACCCCATGCCCCTCCGCCCCCCTTCCTCTTCCACAGCAGTACCCGCAGCCCATGCAGAGCTGCGGCGAGCCGAGAGCGGGGTTCCCCCAATACAACACCCGTCACCCCGCTTTTGGGGTTTCCCTCTGTCACGCACAGGCAATGGGACCTTCCCCCTGTCCTTCCTGGCGACATCCCGCTGTCCCTCCCCGCTTTCAGACGCTCCGCCAGCGGAATTAACACCCCGCTAATCGCCGGCGCCCCGAGCCGCCCGTACCCGCAGTAATTAGCCTTTGATTAAAGCCAACAAATGTTGCCCTAATCAACAGGTGTCCCGCGGCACATCCCCATCGATCTTCCGCACGCCCGGGGCAGGGTGGGGGGACACGCCGGGGGGGACCCAGGGCAGTACCCCGGACCTTCCCGGTGTTGGCAGGGAGGCTGCCGGACCACATCCCGATCCCGGTCGCGGCGGGGAGGGTCCCAGTGCCGGTATGGGCGGGGATGGTCCCGACGGAGGGTTCCAGCCGGGATGCCGGAGTCCCGTTGGAGATGCCGGTGTCCCGCTAGCCCTGCCCCATCCCGCATCCCCCCGCGCTCCCGTCCCGCCGCACTGACCATTGGGGCCGTACTTCTCGCGGTGGCGGCGGACCTGCTCGGGGCTGAGCCCGCAGCTCTCGCTGACCCCGAAGCGGCGGAGCACGTCGAGCACCGGGAGGCTGTGGGCCGCCTCCATGCCCCGGCCCGGGCGGTGCTGGCCGGGGGCGCACCGAGGCACACGGAGCGCCGCTCGCACGGCGCTGCCTCGGCACCGCCTCGGCACCTCTCCGCCCGCCCGGCGCCGGGCCCGCCTCCCCCGGTACCGCCCCGCTCCATCCCCGCCTCCCCCGGGGCCCCGCGCCCAGCGCCGCCCCCCCGGCACGACCGGGACCGCGGTGCGGGGCAGAACCGGGACCCCCGGGCTGCGGCACCATCCCCTCTGACAAGGTCTGGAAGGGACATTAAAGCTCATCTGGTTCCATCCCCCTTCCACTAGCCCAGGTTGCTCCAACCCCATCCAACCTGGCCTTGGACACTTCCAGGGATGGGGCAGCCACAGCTTCTCTGGGCAACCTGTGCCAGGGCCTCACCACTCTCACAGGGAAGAATTTCTTCCTCATATCTAATCTAAATCTCCCCTCCTTCAGTTTAAAGCCATCCTCCTTGTCCTGTCACTCCAGGCTCTTGTCTAAAGTCCCTCTCCAGCTCTCTTGGAGCCCCTTTAGGCACTGGAAGGGGCTCTGAAGTCTCCCCAGAGTCTTCCCTTCTCCAGGCTGAATAGTCCCAGCTCTCTCAGCCTGTTGGAGTTCCAGCAGATTTGCAGGCTGAGAAGCAGGCAGGTTTGTGGGCAGTGGAAACAGTCCAGAGGAAATAGCTGTTAAGAAAAGAGGTAATGTTTCCATCACAAAAATAATATAAATAATATTAGGAGCAATAGAAGGAGGTGGGAAAGGTGTGTGGGTGCAGCTCAGCTGGGGGGCTTAAGGGGGCCAAAGAGTGATACTCTCTGGGTCCCCTCCATCACCCCACTTCCAGCTGGAAGCTGAGCATGCCCCATCCCTGCTCCTCCCACCCTGCTGGAAGCAGAGCAGTTCCATGTTCATGGACCTTGGTGGGATCAGGGGCACTGTATGATGACAGCAGGAGCCCTGGAATTACAAATCCCTGCCTGACACCTGTGAAAACCAGCAACACTTTTCCCATCAATGCCCTGAATCCAGAGAGAGGCAGCTGTGCTGTGCTGCCTTTGGCTTTGGAAACGTGAAATGTAAAATGTCCCTGCAGGGAGATGGAGGAAGGAACCAAAGCACCTAATGTGGGGTAAAACCTGAGCACCACCAGTCTCACTGGGCATGTCTTGGACATCCTGGGACATCACACTTCTCACTGCTTAGTGCTTCTCATCCCCATGCAGAAGGTAGAACATCTGTATTCAAGGAAGGGGCTCATTCTGGAAGCACTCATGTTTTTGCAAGGATTCAACACAGCAGGACCGGCCTCGACCCCTCTTGCTGCCCTGTTACACCACACAAGGGCTTTACATCATCCTTTGCAACACTTATTGCAACAGGTTACTTGAACCACTGTTTCCTAGAAGCACAATGACCGTTTCTAGCAGCTCCCCCGTGCAGCAGCACTGTGAGGAGTTACCCTGATCTGGAGAAGGAGGGTTGCCCCAACAATCCCCTGTACAGCACAGCTGAGGGTAACCACCACCACCCACATCTGCAGGACTTTTCCACACAGTGCACCTAACCCAGCTCCTCATTCAGCAGTTTTTCCGTGACCCAGCTCAAACCTGCTCCCAAAGACTGTCCCCATCTGAACACCAACTTCTGACTTTTCAGGTACTTCCAGTTTTCCCACTGTTGCTGGAAGAAGCCTGTGGCTGATGGTGACTGGCACTGCTCTCCAGCTGAGAGGGGGGAGGCGAGACAGCTGGGGGGTGAGAAACCCAAGTTCTACGGAAACGTCCCCAAAGCAGAACCCGGAGGCAGCGGCGAGCACGAGGAAGTGACAGCAGACATCTCAGGGAGGAGCTCTGGCTTGTTTATTGCCATGTAGATTCATTTATAGAAAGTGTTTTGCAGCTCCCACAAGGAGCAGAGGTCCTGAAGGAAGTGCATGTTCATTTTTTTTTTCATTTGATAAACTCATTTTTTCTTCGGTTCACCGCAGCTGACGGCGTGGGAGGCACAGGGGTGCTCTGGAGCTGCAGCCCAGGCCCTCCTGCAGGAAGCACAGCTCCCAGCCCTGTGGTCTTGTCTCTCCTCAAGTTCTGTCATTGTATTCATCTGCCTCTCATGAGCATTTTGGGGGCAAAAGTGGTGTTTCTGTTGCTGAGCCCCCGGGCAATAGTGCTGCCCTCAGCCAGGGTCTGCCCCAGGGCTCCCTGGGTCGCAGGGCTGAGCAATTCACTGAACCCCAGAATGGTTCAGATTGAAAGGGACCATAGAGGGTCATCTGGTCCAGCCTCCCTGCTCAAGCAGGGTCATCCAGAGCACATGGCACAGGAGTGTGTCCTGATAGTTCTGGAATATCTCCAGTGAGGAGACTCTACACCCTCTTTTGCCTCTGTTCAGTGCTTGGTCACTGCACAGGAAAGTTCTTCCTCATGTTCAGGCAGAACTTCTTGGCATCAGCTTCTGTCCATTGCCTCTTGTCCTGTTGCTTGGCACCACTGAAAAGAGATTGGCTCCACCTTCTTGGCATCCCCCCTTCAGATACTTATGAACATTGGTGAGGTCTCCTCTCTGTCTTCTCTCTTGAGGCTGAACAGGCCCAGCTCCCTCAGCCTGTCCTCATGAGAGAGATTTCCACCAGGTGCCTGGGGACAATTTATGTAATCTGATAATATTAAAACATAATGTGCTCTCAACAAGGGGCACAGAAGACCTGATGCAACAGATCATCCCCAAAACTTGGGAACTGCCCTCAGAGCAGCCACTCCAGCAGCTCCAAAGGTTAAAGTTTGACAAAGTTGGAAGCAATGGAGAACAGTTATAAAGGGAACATCTGGCAGCCTTGGTAACAGGCAGCACCATTCACCCCACCTATAATTAAGCAATCAATGAAAACCATTAGTGACTGGGAGCTGTAAATTAGTGAGGGAAAATGGACTGGAGTGAAAACACCTTCAATATTGCAAGCAAAGGTTCTGCAAACACTGGAGCAAGCTGGGGGTGGTAGTGGGGATCCATCCCTGCCAGCCCCCCGACTTTGGGGGATTCCCTTCTGTAGCAGGTCAACCCTGAGGTAAAGGACAAACCTCCTTATTTATCTTGGCTTTCCCCACAGTAATAATTTTTGGAGGTAGACAAGCTTGAGGGGCCATAAAAAGAAGAAAGGAGCGGGTTTAACACCTCCCAGGCTGCTGAGGAGGTTTTTTAGCCGTGGCTGCGGTGCAGGAGGAATAGCAGGACCCAGCCAGTGCTGAGTGAGCACTGTATGAGGTAGGGAAGTCCACAGCCAGTTTTGATTTTGACCTTGTTTCTACGAAAGGAAATTGGGAATAATTCTCCCATAATATTGGGATCCAGTTTTTGAGAAAATGTGTTTTAGGATTTTTGTTATGTTATTATACTATGTCATTGTATTATTCCCTTTCATTGTACCCCTATTTTATGCCTTCGAACCCTGCATTCTGCATTGGAGCATAGATATACTCCTCCTCTTGTTCTCCCTATATGGTCCTAGTTTACATACTCCGCCCTTGCTCCTCCTCAGCTGCTCCCCTTGTTCCAGCAAGTTCTGCTCCTGCCCCATAAAAGGCAGGAGACATGTTAATAAAGTGTTCCATTTTACACCTAACATCGAAGTGTCCAAACCCTCATTCCTATCGGGCTGTCGAGGACGCTGAGAGAGCCTGTTTCCCACACCATAAGCTGTAAATTTGCACTGCTGAGCTCCCGGGCTGGGGGCGAGGGATGGCTGGAGCCGCCCCAGAGTCTGTCGGAGTCAGCAGAGAGGCTGCCAGAGACGCTGAACCGATGCCACGCTCCTCACCCCAAGGATTTTACAGTCCATGGAAGATTAATCTTTTGTCTCCACTTTGTTCCTCGGAGATGGGGAAAAAATTATGTTTGCTGGAAAGGCTGAGAGAGCAGGCTGTGTGCTGGGAACCAGCCCCAGGCTCCGGCTCGGCTCCGGCACGCAAAGTACCGATGGATAACACAGCACGGGCAAACCACGGGTTTAGGGACTGTCAGCAGCAATTAGGGCTTCAAGGGTGGGAAAAAACCTACAGGGCTTTCAGTCAACTATTTAATCCTCGTTGTTTCTGCGGCAACATGGTTTAGGGTCCATATCTGCCCTCCTCGCTCAGGTCAAGTTTATCTCAGAAGGGAGTTAGGAGCAGGTGAGGGATGCAGGAGCCAGCCCTTGGATGTGCATTTTACACCGTTTTGGGGATCTCTGCCCCCCCCCGAGCTCACCACTCCTGCACACTCGCAGTGGTGGCGCCCAGGAGAGGAGCTGTGAGCACAAGGAGAGCAAATTCAGGGTTAACCACCCCGAACAGAGCGGCTAATGCCGCACCAGGAGGTGCAAATCTCTTCTGTCAACAGCTCTCACCTTCCTAAATCAACGAGGGTGATGTGCAGCTGCCCCGTGTCCTGCTCCAACACCCTCCCCTGGCTGTCACACATGGAGGCATCAATTAATTAGAGGTGACAGTGCCACTGCCATTTACCATGCCACTGCCAGGCTTCGTCTCACTGCACACCCCGGTTCACAGGCAGCAAATCCCCATCCACAGGGGAGACTCAGGAATGGCTTTTTTTGGTTTGGGTTTTTTTTTTCCACAGCAGCTTAGATATTTGCCTTTCCTACGGAGAAATAAAAAATAATACTCGTGAAATAACAGTTTGAGGCTCTTCTAAATGTTACACACCAGCTGACCTTTCGGAGCCAGACTTAGGGGTTTATTTCTAATCCCCCAGCCGGGACTTTCAGCAGCTGCAGGTCAGTCCTGCTCCCCGAGGGCTCAAACATCAATCCTCACCGCCACAAAGCTCAGGGCCGGAGCTCCGGTGTTTCCATCCTTCCTGGAAATATATATCCTTGGCTGTGCATCCTGTGCTGCCCTGGGCACCTCCAGGTGGTGTAGGAGTGTGTTTACCATCGGGATTTGGCTTCTCAGAGCATAAATGCAGGTGGCAGGGAAGCCCCAGCCCTGCCATGCATCCCACCAGGATGCAGGGGATGAAGATT